TTCAGAAGCGTTGTATAGAACAGATAATCCAGATCCACAAAATATTTACTCTTAGGAGGCTGTGAGTTGCTTCTTGATTTTACTGCTGTTATGGCATTGTAATAAAGTATATTACTGAAATCCATGTCTGCAGTATATTGAATATGTGTTTCCTTCATTTAAAAAGCATGTGGATTACATCTCTGCAGATGCTTTTCAGCAGAGTACATTTCGTTGTTTGTTCATTTCATACCTAGAAACTTAGATTAGGATAGACATATTCACATACATACGGACACACACACACATACATATTTCCATACATACATGTATACATACATACACAGGGTCCGGGAGGAACTGGAGGAATGATATCATTCTTGACTCACATCTGCTCATCTGATAGGCACAATCAGCGCTTTCTGGTGCTGCTCTGATTCAGATCCCAGTGGGAAGTTGCTGTAACTCCTCTCAAAGTAGTAGAAGGCAGCCTGAGTTCTTGGACTCTGCAAAGTTGGACGTTTAACTTGCCATGTTCAAAATCTCACTTTGTGATTAATAGATATAGGGCTCATTTTCCACAAACACTAATGCATTGTGCGTAAGAACTGGATAGAATTCCAGTTCTTATGGGCAGACTTTCATACTGGCTAGCTAGCAGGTTATCTAGCGATAAATTAACTTTGCATAGACTGTTTCTGTGGATATTTAAGCTGAAGATTTCTGTCCTGAAGGCATTTTGTTTACAGTTTGATCATAGAATGGCTGTTCTCACATGCAGTCAATTGGATAATTGGATCCTCTGCTTCAATAAGCACTCAATTAAAAAAAGTCTTTATTGATAAATTAGGGTCAGTATTTCAGTTTATGTTAGGAAAAACAACCCAGCTGTTATTTGCTATATGCATCAGAAAATGTCTGGTAAGAAAAATAATTTTGCTATATTTTGTTTCTCTCTTTTCATGCAAATGCACTTGCAATTCATGTTGAAAACTGGACCATTACTCTTTGACGATAACGGTCATCCTGCTGCATTCCAGAGGCCTGAATCAGTGCCAGAGCATCTTCTGCTCTGAACAGTAACTAAAAGGGCAGCTAAAAACACAGGGCATCATGGGAGTGTGAATATATGGCTGAACAAAACAAAGCAGTCTTCCGCTTGACGTTATTTCACAGCCATCTCTAATGATGTCTCTCTAATGGTCTAATTGGCACAGTTTCAAGGGGAGATTATACGTAGTTCTCATTCTTACCTCATATATTATATAGCATCAGATGTATAATTATTTATTTTATTGGTCTTGGATAGGTTGAGTGTTTCGTTGTGGTTGGTTTGATGTCTTGGATTGCCTTGGTTATATTTGCTAAAAAATGAGTGTTATTGACAGAGATAGTCAACCTTTCCTTGCACGGATAAACATGTCTATGGAAAACTTGCCTCTGTCCATTGGAAAAAAAAAAACTATGTATGCTACGTTTGTAATACGATGTGTGTGGCAAAAAATAGCTTTTTGATCACAGTGTTCATCAGGATTTGCAATGGTGTTGATCCCTGGTTATTGATATATTTAAATATGTAGGAAAAGTCAGGAACGTCTGTAGAAGAAATGCTTCTCCGGTTTTGTGCGAACACTTGGCCGTGTGTAAATCTTTAGGGAACCCCCAAACCTCTTCTCCACTTTAAGATCCAATGAATCTTATTCTGAAATGAGATGCTACTGATTTAGCATTACCTTCTGTCAGAGACTGAGAACAGTTCATGTTGTAAAGGAGGCAACAAAAATGTATGTAAAGAGTAAGCCATGTGGCAATGCGTCATGCAATAATGCCACATTATGCAATAACTGAACAAAATGTTACAAATTTTTCATCACATAATGCACTGTTATTACAAAACGTGTTGTTACACATCATGTAACAACACAATATGTAATAAAACCGCATTATGTAATAACTATAAAAAATGTCTTCAAATGTAACTTTTACATGGTGTGTGACAAAGTATCATGTAATGACACCACATGTTGTGATGAAAAGTTGTTACATTTTGTCGAGTTATTATATCCTCCTGAAACCCAAGGGAAAAAGTGTCCTTCAGTTTTAGGTTAATTGTGATTTTCAATGTCTTTGGAAGAAATAAGACATCTTTTTTCAAATTTATTTTTATTTTTAATTTCACAGCATGTCTTCTTTAGTGTACAACAGGAATGTTTCCTTACATCAGTGAAAAGATATATGCAAAAACAAAATGTCCACTACAATGGACATAAATGAATGGGTGGGGTCTCAGGAGGATATGATGCAACATTATTCTCTTAGGGTCTGTTTTAGCTCGTGGCAAAATATCTATGCTTGGTTATGAATAAGTACATTATCATTTACCTACCGGCTACACATATGATTAGACAGCCATAAAATTTTGAAGGCCATTTTCTCAGTTTCAGTATCAGCGTAATTACTGTGTTTTGCTTTGGTATGGCAGTATGGTGGTGAACCATTAACAATATGGCGACAGGCCCGTTTCTGGATATATATCCAAACAGAGTTGTACCACAGATATTTCTAATCGTGATAGATGATGTGGAATTTCCTGGAGTGTTTTCCCTTCTTTTCTATCCATGGGTAAGTGATTTAATCAATGTAGACCATCTGTACTGGAAAAACATGAATGACCAATTGGCCTTGAGTCTAATTTCTGAAACAAAGACAACAACAACAAATTTATTTTTGTATAGCGCATTATCACAACATTACATTGTCCCAAAGCGCTTTACAGCATCCCCACCCAAAGCCCCCAGTGAGTAAGCCATAGGCGACAGT